TCGTTTCACAATCACACGAGATACAAAACCGTGAGATACAAGACGAAATGAAATTTTGACTGATATTTTTAATAGCTTTCTAAATAGTTCTTTTCTTATAAAATATCGAGCAATATAATTCAACCTCGTTCAGTTTTTGGAGTTTCATCCCAACGATTCCGTCTACTTGAAACTGGTTTCTCGTGAGACGGTGTCTCTCTGCCCGGAGTCGCAGCTCCTGGCGTCGCATGAGCTGGAGTGGCGTCCCACATTCTTGTGCTTACTCCAGGAGTCGCTCCAGGAGTTTCTGCTCCTTTACCATGGCCTGGAGTTTCATCCCATCTAATAGCGGCTGGTGTTACCTACAAAAGTCGTATAAAAATTATCGCAAAACAGAAACAGAATAGAAACAAACGGAGAAAATTTCAAATCATCTTGAATTTATTCCAGATGTCAATAAAATTTGCGTAAAATTGCGTTTATTTGAATAAATGTCATAATATAATCAAATGTTAAATTAAAAAAATAATTAAAAATATATGGCAAACATACGTCTGCATTATCCCAAGATGTTGGTGTTGCTGAAGTACCAGACAACTTTTTTTGCACCGGAGTATCATCTGTTTGATCCCAACGACCTCTCTTCTTAGGCGTCGGTTTAGGTTCACCATTGGCTTTCAATGTGCCATCTTTAACCTTTTCTGCCAGTCTCTTTCTCAGCTATGAGGAAATATACTCAACATATATATAAGTTTTTTTTGTATCTTTTAACACTTGTTAATTCCAGGATTTTACATATTTTCATCGAATTTTAATGTCCACATACCTCAGTTTCTTCACCTTTAAGCATTTGTTCCCGCATAATTTCCGTGTATGTTCTGGAACCAACATCAGGTGTCTTGCCACCTGTGATCAAGTCATATCAATAAATGTTACATCAATTGCTTGAATATGCAAAAAGCATGTATATTTGTTTTAACATATGTCTATCAGATTCTGAATAATTATTTGTTACATTCAAATGTCATCTAGGAAAGACTATATATCAACCTTCTGCAAAAGGATCGACACGTTCAGGAGAGATAATCATTCTCCGTCTTTTCTGCCTGTACTCATCTTCCCTGTCAGCTATAGTAGGTCGTCGTCTATCCGCAAACGGATCAAAGTCCTTTTCCTCCCTGTCAGTTATGGTGGGTATTCGTCTGTCCGCAAATGGATCATAATCCTATTCCAGATCAAGATTATATTAATATTAAAATGTTTCTTGCTATATAATAAATATTATTATGTAAAGGATACATATTACAATTAATTCCTATCACAAAAGTTAATACCATCAATAAACCAATTTCTCAACATGGTTACAACAGAACGTACATCAAAGTAAATATTTTATTAAGCTTTGGGATACCTCAATCTCATCATTGGCAGCAATCGATGTAACATAGCCGTCAAATTTATTATTACTGCCATCGTAAATATCCTGATCGTAAAAGCCTGTTTTCCCCAAGGCAACTTGCTCCTTTTCAGCAGCTGCATTCAATATTTCCTTCTTTTTTGATTGTATTTCCCTTATTTGAGCTTCAATATCTGTAACATATATACATACATACGTACATATAATTGTTTAGTACTTTAGATAACTAACACAATGTATCGAGCTTGTTCAATGTCCGATCAAACATCCTCTATTAAGTTTAATTAGAAACAACTGCTGTTTTAATCAGACAAGAGTCACAATCTGTTGACAGGTGACCAAAGTTCGTACGAAAATTTGTTATTTGCGCGGGTGAATGTTCACGATTCCCAGGTAATTACAAACACTGATGATCAACAGAAATTAGAAAATAGAACATATCAATTGATACGAGAAAAGAACCTTTATGCGTTCTCGGGATTGAATCCATCGTGATGAAAAATCGTGCAAAAGCCGCAATAGAGCGAGAAACACACCGAGCTTGCGTTGTGTCAATTGAGAAGATAACACACTGTCAAATATAGCAAATACGATTGCACTGCACTCTTGTGACGGTCAACAGTGTTCCTTCAGAGTGTTTTCAGCTGTACACGAATTATCGATTGCGGTAAAGAAATGTACATTATTAGCTAAAGTTCCCAAAGTTCCTAAACACTATGCTCTCCCATTGGATATTGATGTTAGTTATAGATGATCTAGTTATATCATCTTTTGTCTTTATTTCGTATTTGCCAAGAAAGGGAAATGATGACACAATTGGATTTGCGTCGACTCGTGTCTCTCACTAGGAAGCAATCACTAAAAAAATCTACAGTTTAAAGCGGGGTCTGCAATGAGAATTTAAGACGTAAGAAACTGACCAATCATGAAAAACTTTTCTTCTATAATTCGATTGTGATTGATCAATTAAAATTAAAATTTACCTCCAATCCCACCAATTCCTATTAACCTAAACGACCGATTAACTCAACAGAATTGACCAATTACATAAATCAATTAACTAATTGAACAATACGATTGGTTAATTCCATTGATTTATCGGTTGATTATGTTAACCGAAGTTGATGGTGGAATTGGAGGTTAACTAATCAAAGCAACAGAATTTTAGCTGAACTTGAGTTTGATTGGCGAACTTTGATTGAGGTTGATTTAGTGAACTTTGCTTTGATTGGTTAAATTTCAATACAATCTCAACCTCCAATCCATAATCTGATACGGGCTTAAGGTTCGAGATTTCCGCCATTTCTCATTTTTCCATTCCTATTCCCAACGCAGGCCTTAGGTGGCGCTGACGGACTAGTCTCTGATCGACAACACGAGAGAGACTTCACCATCTTGCGATTAGTTCGGGGATTCAATCTTCAGTTCGCCCGCGTAAGCGCGAAAAATATAATGCGGCTTGTAAAGTGCGTCGAATCGAGTCATCGCCTCGTCGCCGCTCACCGTCGTCGACGTCAGTGATCCGTCCGATCGTCGATTTATCGCGCCTTATCGCGCTTAACGGGGTCATTTCTCGGCGGCGGGTTTCGCACGCAAAAGTTCCCGTTGCATTCTGGGCCAGCAATGGTGGGCGCGTGATTTTGAACAATTCGAGTTATCGAAGGAACGCGCAGGTACGTGTCACCAACGTCAATCATCCGATGCGAATCCCTTTCGTTCCGTCCCGCCGAGCCGGACTTCAGAACTCGTCGGGGGGAACCGAGTCGTCCTCTCCGGCGGACTTTCGATCGCGGCCGATTCGAACCCGCGACTTCGTCGTCGATTCGAACGTTTTGAGGTTATGTTTAGAGCTGCCAATCGAGCTGCGCGCCGCTGCGGCCGACACGGTTCCCTCGCTCGTTTCCCCGCCCGTTTCGCTTCCGAACCCCGCGAATCCCCCCGCTGCGAGATCGCCGACCGATTCGTTTTGAAATCAAGCGAGATCTTCTCACGCTCGAAAATCCGCCTCGCAAAAATGGCGCGTTCCGCCAATAACAAATGGCGCTGATGTCCGGACGGCGAATCGCGCCTCGAACTCGTTTTTTTTCTGGCCCATTCGAATCTCCCCGTCGTACTTACGGGGATTCGAATTCTCGCATCGGACTTCACGCGCGAGTGTTGTTGTCGTTGCGGTGGCGGCGGCGGCGGAGAGGTCGAACAGCTGTTTCACAATTTTGAAAGTGCAAGTGCGAAAACCCTGCCGAACGGGACGAATTGCCGCGTCGACGTCGAAACGATAGAATCGCGGCAATTAAAATGTAAATGATGGTCTCGCCATTGGTAGATCATGTTTTCCTCCGAGCGCGATCGTAATGTTTATGTTGTCATTGGCGCTGATCGTTCGGAGTTTACGAGCGAATGTCAGCCGAGCTCCGTGCGAACACAGTGAATAACTTTTCAGATCGCTTTTTTAAACGTCACTTTTTTACTCACCGCTTCATTGTATCCGTGTACAATTATCAGACGGTTTTTTTTTCATTTACGATGTTCAACAATTATATATATATATTTTTTTTTTACGATCTCATGATGAACGTGTTTTCATGGCAAATACTTGATCAAGCTTGTTCAACATTATCTCCCTATGACAACAGAAAATATTTCAGTAATATTTCCTGAAAATCTCGCTAGATAAGTTTGCATTGTGTTGAATTCGTTGTGATAAAGAATAACAATGATATTCTAACATCTGTCTCTCCAATGATATCAATGTTTTGACAATCAGGTGGTGTTATCATGTCCACGAATAAGGGACAGAATGCACGGGCCTTGGTGGAGCCTGTAGCCTTGGACTCACGTACCCTGGGTGACAGCGACCTCAGCGCACTGAGCTTGTCGCACAGCAGCGAGCAGTACAGTTCAAATGACTTCGACGCGTTCGCGAACATTCAAGCAGAACTCGACTCGATGAACGCGGAGGAAGTTATGTCGACGGACGACGAGCGGATAGTGATTGAGCGTAACATCGACACCGACGTGTTGACACCCGACGTGGAGATGGCCGACATTTCCGAACAAGTGCAGACGGAGCATGTTTACACGATGGCCAATCAGAACAGTCAGAACATCGTATTTCAGACCAAGCCTACGCTGCAGAGGGTGCCTGTATCCGCTGTTCAAGTAACACTATATTAATCCTGTTTGCAGCTGATCAAAAGAAAGAAAGAGAGAGAGAGAAAGAGAGAATGGCTTACTTATCTGTTTAATTTGATTTACCTCCACAGGTGAAGTCGAATGTCTGCCAAACCACGCAGAGTCAGTCGATTATGATAGTGTCACCGGCGAGCGGACAAGGCACCAGCCAGATCCTTAAGATATCGCATCCGCCGACAGCTTCGGCCGAGCAACTACAGTCCCTGGCCCAGACTCTGATAACCGGAAAGTCCACGGACGGAAGTGTCGTTCAGCTGAGGTCGGCTCAGCCTGCTAAGTCCATCACGACAAGCAGCTCCTCGGGGAATATCACGATCAGTAACATGCAGAATGTGAAGATAGGTCAACCGACGACTTTGAAGCGGGCAACGCAGAATATTCAGACGGGACGTAACGTACGTGTACGCAATTTCCGTCGTAGTTTCCGTGTGATCTGACGGACGAGGATTTTTGTCTTAAGTCACCGGGTGATATTGTCTATTGTCAGTGGATTTTAATGATTTTCTTCAATCGTAACAGGTATACACGAAGATGATACTGACGGGGAGCCAGGCGCAATCCGCCCAGCAAGTTCTTATCACGAGTTCGCAGAGTGAAAATCAACAGAGCCAAGGGATTAAATTCCTCAACAACAGCTCGTCCAATTATAGCGTTACGAGCCCAACGAAGACCATAACATTAGCGCAAGCGCAACAAATGGGTATACTCCCCACGAATAAGGTGCAACACATCCTGCCGTCTTCGCCACAGAAACAGGTGTGTTGCAGACTTTTATACCGATTGTTGTAGTTCACTGAAACACCAAGCAGATTCAATCGCAATATAATGACAAAAGTATTAAAATATAAAAAATACAAATGAAGGTGAAATTTAAGAACGCTGAGAGACAAAAGCTTTAGATATATGTTGTCGCAAAGAAATTTGTACTTAGTAAGAAATAATGAGAGTATAAATACACAAGTATGTATAACTTGTATAAAACGTGTATAATTATATCTGTTTTTAATGAAGTTTACATGTACATATGTTTCTTTCTAAGGGAATGATTCTAAACAAATTGCTACAGTCTTCAACGTCGCAAGCATCGAAGGTAACTATAGTGCCTACTAGCAGTGTTGCAAAGTCACCGACAAAAATCCTACCCGCGCCAACTGCGAGTATTCAAGCAAAATCTTCAACGACGACGAATCAGTCCACGTTTGTCTCGTCCAAATCATCCTCACAGCAAAACCCACAGAAAGTGATTATCAGACAGGTTGGTCATATTGTAAATAATTAAAGTTTAAGATTGAATTTTAACGTTAATACTTCGGGTCGTGCAGTAGTTGCAGGAAAAAATATAATTTTTCTAGATTTTCCTTTATATATATTCTAACATGTACATATGTATAATATTATCAATAACCAGTAATTTATCTCATAAATTCATTTATTCGCTTACAACGCATCTTGTTATATTTATCATCTTTTAATGAAGCTAACAATGTCATATATATATTAGATTTTACGATAGAAATTCTGTTTTTTTTTTTCCAGAGTACTTTGAAACCCGGCACTGTACTTGGAAGTGGACAAGTCATCAGAATACCTGCTAACCAGAACATCGTGACCGGGTCGAATCAAGTTCACCAAATTCAAATGCCTGGAAGACAAGTATATTGCTTTTTAGTTTATCCACAGTTAATAATCATAGTGTAAGTCAATATTGTATACTATGTTCTATTTTTTAGGTGCAATACGTAAGATTAGTCAGTACACCTTCATCAGGATCTACCAACGTTGTTACTGTAAGCAAAACAAAGTCTGCTACGACACTTCAAACTGTAGGCATTGGTCAAAAAATAGGAAGTCAGCAGCAGATCGTAAAGGTATAATAAAAGCTTAGCCTAGCGCGAAAGTGTATAAATAATATAATAAACAACAAATTTAATGTGCTAATCTTAATACAAATTGATTTTTAATTGATATAACAATAGAATTATTTTATAACGTTACTCGTAAATATTTTTATATTTACTTAAATAAACTATAATAATAGTAGGAGCTATGCTACAATATTTAAAACATGTGTGCGACATATTCGTATTATATATCATAAATATAACAATTCCTTTTCATATTTTTCGTTTAGGTTGTGCCACTAAATACTGGTAATCAGACTCTGAGAACTGTTGCGCCGAAGGCAACTCTTACGAGCGGAAGTCAAAGACTGCTTATACCTGCAACAGCAGCTACTGGAACAACTGTCGGCAATCAGCCGAAGAACACTGTGGCGATTCCAGCATCAGCATTAAGTCAGTTAGCGTCAGGTCAAGCGGTTCTATCAGCGAATTCGAATGTTGGGAACATCGTCGTTCTTCCTGCTCAATACATTCAACAACAGGTAAAATTCGTTAATGTATTTTCTTTCTTTTTCTCTTTTTTTATCGATTGCTTTATGCTTTTCAGGAATATTGTTATTTAATTTAACATAATAACATAGTGCATAGTCAAATTTTGGTTTTATATCAGGTCTTTTTCGCAAAATATTCATTAACATCAAAAAAAATTCGATACATGTATGTATGCATACTATCGTATAAAAAGAAATTGAAGATCTTTCAACGTTTGTATGCAACGGTTTTGATTATAAAATGGTCCCAGTTTCAATTTCAGTTCTCTTAGTTATCAAAATACCGATCTATTAAATTTTATAAAAACCTTGTATCTACGTATCTAAAACGATACTGCTTCGAATAGTCCACGGACGATGGGAAATTGAAGTCACAACAAACAACGTCGAACATAATGGGAACTTCGCAAAGTTCTACGGCGACTTTGTGTGTGATAGAAGGGAAAAACTCTCAAAGAGGTTACGGCAATGTCGAACCGAACGGTATCAGGCCGAGGAAACCATGCAATTGCACCAAATCACAGTGTCTGAAACTGTAAGTTTTGTAAGTTTTTGTCAATTTTTGTCGAAATGTCAAAACATTTCTCACCGTAACTAAACAGTCTCACACTCTTTTACAATATAAATAATTTTCTATATATATTCACATATATCTAATTTTTCAGAATAGTTTTCTAATAACTCTCTTTAAAGAGTAATTTTCGACCGAATATTATATTCTATTTAATTATTGATTTCTAAATAGATGCCTTATAGTAGGCTTTGAATTTTGCCGCTTTCCTTTGTCATCGTCATAGTGCAACTGACATTAATAACTCGGAAAGTATGATTGAATTTGAAGTATTTTTACAAAAATATTCGTCAGAAAGATCGCATGAATATTCTTTGTGAGCCGATTATTATAACTTGACCAAGCTTAATCGGAGTAAGCACCGCTATATAATTACAGAAATATATAAATATATTCGGGATTAACGAAAGTACAATTAATCGATGTCTTTACGTTTTATTTTAAATAGAATGTATATTGAATATATTCATAATTAGGTAAATATTTTGGTAATCCAAATGTATCTTCATTACAGTTATTGCGATTGCTTCGCAAACGGCGAATTTTGTCACTTGTGTAATTGCAACAACTGTTCTAACAATCTCGGAAACGAGGAGGAAAGACAGCGTGCTATTAAGTCCTGCCTAGAGCGCAATCCTAACGCCTTTCGCCCGAAAATCGGCAAAGGCCGTGAGACTGGCGACGATATAAGAAGACATAACAAAGGCTGTAACTGCAAACGCAGTGGTTGTCTGAAAAACTATTGCGAATGTTACGAGGTAAGCTACATACACATGCTAATATGATTTATAGCAGAACCTCTTTTTTCCTAAAAATTTAAATAATGTTGAGTATTTATGTTTTAAATAGTCTTCTACGTGTGTAAAATTATAGAATATTTAATGTATGATATATATGTGTGTGCGTGTGTGTGTGTGTATGTGTGTGTGGTTATAAATTTATTATAAAAAGTTCTTAGTATAATAAAAAGTTCATTACTTCGTATAATAAGTTCATTATAAAAAGTTCAATATAAAAAGTTCATTACTTAGTATAATAAATTCACAAAATAAATAAAAAAAGACGTTAATACCTGACCTAATAATAATAAGAAAGCCAACCATTGTTATTCAAGCATAACAACTTATTAATTATTACTTTTCTCACATATAAAAATGCTTTAGTCTATCGCAGGCTCTTCTCAGTTTGGGCAGAAAATTAGACAATAATTTGAGTCACAAAGTTAGTTGAAAATGCAATGTTTTAACAAAAGTACGGGAAAATTTATAAACGGAAACCTAAGCAAAGTAGCCACAATTATAGTCGAAGGTAAACGATGAGCACAGAAAATGTAATTTATTCCCCAATAAGACCGTATGTCCATTCCTATCCAAGATAGATCCATGGTCCAAAATTTGAAGTCGATAACAGTAAGTTTCAAGTGGCATTCAATGCAGATCTCAAGTCTGTGTTAAAAGGAGAATTCCTCCAAACTTTGTCATTTAGAAAAAGATATTAAAATGAAGAAAACAGACAATTCGCCAATGGCGGCCGAAATCGTATTTGAAACAGAAAGCTTACATACGTTAAGCGTTTGAATATTTATAAAGCAACGTATTGATCACAAATATAAACAAAATGTTATATGTCACTTGACATTCAAACGTGCAAAAGCCTATAGTAAATTGAATTTTTCCAGGCTAAGATCCCGTGTTCTGCAAACTGCAAGTGTATAGGTTGTCGTAATATTGAAGACCCGATATTGGAAAAGAAGAGTCTGAAAGATCTGGCGGAGGCAACTGAAGTCAGGACAGCTCAGATTAGTTTAAATAAAGCGCAGCTACAATTGTCTGAGATGGCATTCAGACCACCAGCAACATCTAACTCTGGAACAAGGTCCGTGATGATTTCGATTGATCTCGTTACTATTTCCGGCTATATTCCGATACCTTTCTTTCCATGTGTTATATCTGTTTCTTACAGTTCTATTCTTATATATTACAGGCAGCCATTTAATTTCTTGACGGACAAAGTTGTGGAGATAACATGTCAGTGCTTGATGGCACAGGCAGACGAGGCGGAACGTAATATGTTTGACGACGAGACGTCTCAGCGGCTCATTATCGAGGAGTTCGGTCGATGCTTGAAAGAGATTATCGAGTCAGCGCATAAAGCTGAAGCTACCTAGCAGGTGCACTCGGTGGGATTTTCATTGCAACTTTCGTTTTTCATTATTCATGTTTTCATGGAAATTGAGTAGAAATAAAAAAGAAAAAAAATAGCATAATGAATGTTACGTACCAAAGATTAATCACAAGATACAAGATGGTCCTTAGTATCATCTTAGCCCGCTGAATTATCCTTTAAACGTTATTACAGCTTACGCTGAGTTCCCTCCTTAGATGCATTTGGAATTCTAAGAGGAAAATAATGTTTAGTATGAAAGATTAAAGGAGAATCGAATGACTCTGCGTGGGCTTTTGTTTCCTAATGACGAGTTATTCTGGAAGGTATAATTTAGACGGGCAAAGATCGTTTCGTCCAATTTCTGACAGACGGCAGAAATAATTTTATTTTACTGAAAAAAGAAGGAGAACACACAACCACATTTGTTAATAATTGATCGAATAAGCTGGAGAAAATTTAAATTTCCTCGATCTTGATGGAGAAATACGAATAGTTGCAATCGATCGTCTCCTCAGACGTATGTTCTTTAAAGCACGATAAGTCAGAAATGGAACCGGAATACGAAATGGAAAGTGTCAACATTATCTTCGCCTAGTAGTTGGATTACATAAACGTTACTTGGCACTTTACGCTTCGCACGGTATTTCAGACATGTTTCAGAAGCGACAACGCTTTCATAAGTTGAATTCGCAGACTTCAATTACAAACTCGTTTTCACATATAATTTATAAATATAATCTACTGTATCTACAAAATAATATATAATTAGACATTAAAAACCAAATATATATACATATAATTTACACACACACATACCACACACACACACACACACACACACACACACACATGTGTGTGTGTGTGTGTGATCTGTACATATATAGGATGTCTCGCAATACTTATATCTCCAAACTCGATAATAAGGGAGAAAGTAACGAAGAGAGAATTAGAACCTTCTTCAAATAATAATTTTAATATGCATATATACATACACATAAAATCTAGAAATAAGTGTTGCGTAGGACATCCTGTGCTTACGTGTGAAATACTTGCGCATTTAGATCTGAACTATTTTCAGACAAGTATCATTGATCCACGTTTTTTTTTTTCACAAATTGTTTAATTAATTTTAGTAACATAAAACATCAAGTAAAGGTTTGTTCAGTAAAGACTATTATACAGAGAATATAAAATTTTGTTTTACTCACATTGATAATAGAAACGAAAGCTAAATTACACCGTATGCCTTTAGTTTTCGGTCAAATCCAACGCCAATGGCAAACAACATTTTTCATGCGAATTGTAATCAGGGAAACGATCCGCAGTTTGCCTGAAATGCATAAATGCATTTTTCCACTGAAGATATATTACAGAATACAACTGTAATTTATTCAAAGAGATTCATACGCATTTGCATTGTTCGATTTTAATATACAATCAAATGTAAATGTATTGTCTATAGCGATTCCCGCTTTGCAGTAAATACTCTTGGTTCGAATTTCGTTCAGAATAATTCAGAATTATATCTGATTGTCGTCTGTCATTTAATCATTCCTTGTTCTGTTTTCTCTCTCTCTCTCTCTCTCTCTATCTATCTATCTATCTCTCTCTTTCTCGTATTTAACTTTTAACTTTGCAAGAAAGATATTAATACATTGCGATTCATAAACTCGACTTTTTAAGAAGTCGTTGCAGTTAGTATGAGTCTATCAACGGATTACGCAGTTGTTAACCCTGGAAATATCAAGTTAGGCAAAAGTAAATACGCGGTAGTTTCTATTTTGTTGCTTATAATTATAGTTATATTTTATTTCGCATATTGCACATATATATTCATTGAATATACTTGTAAATGTAAGTAAGAATGACAGAGAAGCGAATTGTAAAATGATATTTAACGTAAATAACTTTCATATTGTATAATATTCACGAATATAAAGTGCTCTGCTTGATAACTTATACAATAAAAAAATCTTGGTATTTCGAGGGTTAGATTAAATAAATCAATTTAATACGATGATAACGATAGATTTTTAACAGATAGATATTACTCGGAGAGCTTTAATGTATAATCGCATTTCGGGAAATAAACAAATGAAAGTAAATTATTAATACGTATTCTTATTTTTTATCATTTTAAATGTTTCTCGCAATGTAAGAAGATAGGATGTTGATAGGAGGAATCTTTAAAGAGTACTGATTATCCAAGAGATTATTTGGGAAAATCTCAAGTCTTGTTTATAATAAAGTACGATACATATTGTATATTGTAATATTATATTAACAAATACATGTATTTACAATCTATTTATACGACCATTAAGTTTTACAAATGTATATAAATAATTCTTACGTGTGCGTCGAAATTGCCTTAAAAATAAGGAACGTCAAATTATCTATTGCCTGTGAAGTGACAATGATCAGAAATACATCCAATGGAAAATAAGACTAAATAACAACATATTTCCTCCGATAATTGAAAGATTATATTTGAAAAATGAATCAAAGCTTTTGCGGGCGCGCAAAATACTTGTAAGCATGAAAAGTTCTAAAAGGCAGGTCCGCAAATTCATTTTGGCACAGATATGGTTTGTTCTATCTATAAAAACCATATGCAAATGATAAACTGTTCAATTCTTGATCCAGACCTTCCTATTTATTTTCATGAGCAGCCGTGTTCAGAACGTTTATTTCACAATTGTTGGAAGTTTTTCTGTGTCGAGACTGGATTATTCTTGCAGATGTAAAAGAACAATCCAGGGTTAGGAAGTAACGTGTTACCGTTACATGTTATTTTTTCCCAGTAACGAGTTTGTAATTACTTTTTTTTCTCGGTAGTGACTGTAACAGTAACGAAGTTACATTTTTTGGGTAACAGTGACGAATATAACCATTACTTTTATCGTTACTTTCAGACTACGCTAAAATTCTCGAAAGTTCCTCAAATAGCCATACAATAAATCGGACGATAACGATAATTTTTGTGCTTGTCCAAAAAATAAAAAAAAAGAAAACAGTCTCTTCAGTCCCAAATGGGGGGATTGCGATAATTCTTAAAATCAGAACTTTGTAATATCGAAACGTTGAACGACTACCCGCGAATATTATTTTATCAAGTACAATACAAAACTTACGAACAGTGCATCGGTAACATGACTAGCCATTGCAAACTCTGTATTAACGTCACATAAAGGATGTCTTCACGACAGTACGATGGAGCATCAACTCCAATTAAAGGTTAATAAAGAATTTTAATGAAATTCAACGAGTTTGTGTATTTAATAAGAAACTATTAGAAGTATTACTTTTTAATATATGTCTTCTTAGCATTTATGCGATGGCATTCGTGTCGATCGCCCCTCGTATGTGTCCGTAAATTTGTTGATTCTTTTAAATTGCTTCAAATGTATTTTTTTAAGAATGGTAATGACATCACACACACGCAATGAATTTACAGCGACATATGTATATTACACGTTATACTCTAAAACTTGACAATTTTACTTCAATTATATTTTTCGTCTCTTCCTCGCCTCAGCCCTCTTGCATCTTTTCACAAGGACTCCACAGCCGAATGATCTATCTTCTCCACCGTAACAACGTTGTCCTCTTTGATCTTCATCAAGTCGGGACAGTCTTTCTTCAGGTGTGTCACGGCGCCGCAACTCTTGCAACAACCGCCATTGGGATAGATCCCTTTCGGATTGTCGGGACACTGCGAGGAAATGTGGCCCTGCTCGCGGCAGATGAAACACTTCGCGTACCTATAGGCGGAGTCCTTGTTCACTTTACATTCGAAGTGAGTGTGTTCCGTCGAACCGCATTTAAAACAAATGCCTGTCCCAGCCTCTTCCTTCCCGCCAAGCTCGGGACAATCCGATAAAACGTGGCCGGACTTGCGACAATTGAAGCAAAGAAGTTTCTTAGCACGCGCCAACGCTCTCTCAGCCTTGCGTCTTTTCAGTTTCAATGCTATATCCACCTTAGACTGTGGTACACCTGTACAGTATATATTATCATTAATATTATTATATATTTATTTTATATATTATTAGATTATTATTAAATTCTTTTTTTTCAAATCAAATCAGTATTATTTTTCATTATTAATAAGAAAAATTAAAGGTTAAATTTATAGTTTCTGAAATTCTATCTAGTTTTCTCAAGATAAAACTCAGTTTGAGTTCTGCGGATTCTTAACACTTTGCGGGCCGCTGTCACGCTGACGTGACTTTTGCTCGCCAACGGTTATCGGCCGCTGTCACGCTGGCGTGATGGTTTGACGATCAGGAAACATTGTTTTCAACTGTTTTCCTTATTTTAGTGCCTTCTTAAATAATAATAATTATATACCAACTACTTATGTATCGAAAAATTGCGTAAATATCACCGTTGGCGAGCAGTAGAACCTGCGTGAATCTCGCCGGCGGCAGCGCAACGGCGCTTCGATAAATGCGCGGCCCGCAAAGTGTTAAGTATGCATATTTTCCTTTTGTCCCTACTAATTCTATCTCTTCCTCTCTCTTAAAATTCCAAGTTAAAATACTGTTACAGCACACGACAAATTTTATATAATTTTGTACTTACCTTTCATTAACATCTCTTGTTTGAGTTTCGCCAACCTTTCTGCATCTTCCTTTTTGACGGGAAATCCGTCGTACTTGATAATTTCAATTTCCACACCGTTAATTATAATTGTTTGGACATTGGTGTCTGGCTTTCTTCTTTTATATTCTCCGTTCTTCTTGATTCTTGTTTTCATTACTTTACCTTGAGAATCTTCATTTGACTCATCTTTCTTAAACCTTTTGGATTCGTCATTGTTCGATTTATCTAATTTTCTTTTCAGATTTCGTTTCTGTCGTTTACTCAATACGGCAATATTTGAACTTCCGTTACTCTGCGAAATGCTCGACTCTTCATTGTTAGATTCTGAATGTGTGTCATTAACATCGTGTTGTTTCTTCTTGTTGGAAAATTTACTTTTCTCCTTAGTCTTTTCAGTCTTTCCATCTTTCGTTGTATCCAATTTTTCTGTGTTATTATTCTTAGCTTTAACATTACAATCGGTGTCGTCGTTTCTCGAGTTTCCTGCGAGCTTCATATGACGCTTTGACTTTAAATTCTCACCCTTATTGTCATCGAAGTCGGCCCAATCATGATCACGCTTTCCAACTGTATCGCTATATTTCTGATCAGCTAGCAATTTCTTTGCTGACTTTTTGCTTTCCGGAGGTTCCTTTTTCTTGCTCTCTTCTAATTGTTGTTTCATTAAATGCCACGGTGTAGCTTCATTTGGCAATTTTTCGTTTGATGCTTTAGCTCCCTTTGCTCTTGTATACCTAGTCATTTTTATAGATACTGAAAAATACACACAAATTCATTAATGAAAAATGCGATGTGAAATATTTTAGACTTATTTCTGGCGTAATTCACATTTTTCTTACCTGTTTTTTGAACAAAGTTAAATATAATTATAAACACTTGGCACGTGTTAAAAACAACTTTAGGAGGTTATAATTTTCACACAGGCCGCGTTCCGATATTTACTGTCGGTACTGAAATCTGAGGGAAAATTCCTTAACCTTGACAGGAAGCAGGAAGCTGAAGGACAGCAGCCAATCGGAACTCGAGCTGGTAGTCGACAATTTCTGCTTTATCTATTATCTAATCTGACTTACTACCAGTGCGAATTCCGATTGGCTTCTACTTTTCTGCTTTCCTGTTAAGAGGTGAATTCTCCTTACGCCTTAAGAAATTAACCAATCGCAGTCGAATATGCTTCCGATTCAATTCAAACGTAACATTGGACACCAAACGCAGTATGAATCCTCCATTATAGTGCGTTTCCACGATGGAGAACATACCGAGGACTCACGAAGGTTTTCATTACGTTTATAATTATCTTTCAATTAATTTCACCTTATACATTTCCCTTTATTTGTTAATATTAACAGCCGCATTGAATTATATAAACATTAAACATTAATGGAAATTCATTTTATTTGACACAATAACGCATAACCTCTTTCTTGCAGCTCTCTGTAAAAATAACAATTTGACTTCAACAATTTCAATAATACGTACATTACAGATATCGAGGCGCAAATAAGAGAAATTCAGTCGAAAAAGAAGGAGATTTTGAACACAGTTTCTGAAAAGGACCAAGTCGGCCTGGGGAAGACTGGTTTCTATGACCAAGACATTTATGATGGCAGTAACAACAAATATGACGGCTATGTCACTTCAATCGCAGCAAATGATGAAATCGAGGTATTACGAATAGAATATAATGTCCTTGAATATTTTTCTATCATTTTATTACACAAATATAAATATCTATATATATATATATATTGTACGAAAGTATGATTGTATACCTACAACTATACTTTTGTTCTTCTCTGATTGTTATAATGATTGTTCATACTAATAAATTCATTATCTTGGCTAGGATTACGATCCGTTTGCGGACAGACGAATACCCACCCTAGCTGACAGAGAGGAAGAGAAAGACTATGATCCGTTTGCGGACAGACGACGGCCAATGATAGCTGACAGAGAAGATGAATACAGGCAAAAAAGGCGGAGAATGATTATTTCCCCTGAACGTGTTGATCCCTTCGCAGAAGGTTGGTATATTTTCCTTAGGAATTAAAAGCTATGTTAAAAAATTCATGAAAAGTTCTCATTTAGACCTAAGTGGTCAGGTGTCACAATGAGTATGTCAGTAATAAGTTGCGATCCAACAAGTAACAAGACTACTGTTTACAGGTGGTAAAACTCCCGATGTTGGCTCCAGGACATACACCGAAATCATGCGCGAACAAATGCTCAAAGGCGAAGAAACAGAGGTAAGCTCTAACTGTCCCATAGAAATGATATAAAAGTAGTACGTAAATAAAATATCTTGTGTGAATACGTTATAACTTTCGATATATCTCTGCTTCAACCATTTGTATGTTTTTTTTCGAGCTATGCAAAATCAGAGCCTTTGTTAAGAAAGTTTCTGTGTTTTATATTTTTCTATAGTTGAGGAAAAGATTAGCGGAAAAAGCTAAAGACGGCACCCTGAAGGCTAATGGTGAACCTAAACTAATACTGAGAAAAAGGGGACGTTGGGATCAGACGGACGATACTCCGGTGCAGAAGAAGCTGTCTGGTACTGCGGCAACGCCAACTTCATGGGATAATGCAGATGTCCGATATATATTTATACGCCTAAATTTTGCTTGTTTTTTGCGTTGAACCATGTTATTTAAATATCTATTTAAATATATTAAGTGTGTTAAAACACAGTGTGACCTGCAGTAATCTAATAATCTGATTTAAACAGTTGTTTCAAGTACACAGTGCTATAACGCTGTGAATCGTTCACACAGGTTTAATGAGATTTGATAATTCAATAATACGGATTTAATACCTTTCTCTCTATTCTTTATGATACATTCGTATTATTATTTTCCAGGTAACACCAGCTGCTATTAGATGGGATGAAACTCCAGGCCATGGCAAAGGAGCGGAAACCCCTGGAGCGACTCCTGGAGTCAGTACGAGAATGTGGGATGCCACACCAGCGCACGCGACACCGGGAGCTGCGACCCCTGGCAGAGAAACACCCTCGCACGAGAAAATTGTGTCAAGCCGGCGGAATCGTTGGGATGAAACTCCAAAAACTGAACGAGGTTGAATTACATTGCTCGATATTTTATAAGAAACTAATTAGAAAGCTATTAAAAGCATCAGTCAAATTTGATTTCGTCTTGTATCTCACGGTTTTGTATCTCGTGTGATTGTGAAACGA